CACGTCGGCAGCGGAGAGCTCGGGCTGCTCCGAGCCCGCTCCGAGCCCGCCCCTCGGCACCGCCACCGCTCCCGGGGATCGAGCAGCGAGTTCAGCACTGTCTGTCGGTTCAGACTGGCAACATCGCGGGGAAAACCCGCTTATCGGTGGCGTCATTAGGGGTCAGCAGCCGCCTCAGGGAGGAGGTTCCGTACGGAACCTGCACCGTACCCAGCGCGCCTGTTCCAACTGCTTAGAGAGCATTTCCTGACAGCCTCGCTGAACTAACCCACCCGCAGAACTGCCGGACGATGCCAGGCCAGGCAGAGGCTCTGGCTGACCTACTATTACAGCCCATCTTTCAGAAAAAATCTGTTACTGAACCAAAAACATAACAGAATTAATAACATATGTCTGCCCAGTCTGATAGAACAAAGTACGAGACAGTTCCAGCCCTGTCACTACTTGTGTTGCTTCAACTGACCTAAAAATGTCTTGTTTCTGTAGGATGCTACCAGGAATGGCAGCAGAACTGGTACATTTAACTGGGAATGCTTTTATGTTGTGCCTTATATATGTATGTATATACAAAAACAAAGCTACCTTAAGCTTTACATCTTTTATGAATCTAGAAGTTGAGGGGAAAGTAAACACTGGAATTGAAATTGTGTCAGTTACCCAAATCTGAAGAATACCACTGTGTGTATTTAATCTTTTTGTAACTGATTTGTCCCATCACTGGGAACAAAGACCCAGCCCCTCCAAGTGCTTTCTCAGCATCTGTTCACAGTCAGGATAATAATGTTACAAAAAAAACCTGACTGTTTTACCAATGTACTGCCAGCTCACACAGAAAGTACAGGATTCCTGTGGGGGAGGGATAGTGAAGCAGTTTCTCATTTTATCATTGTCTTTTGTTATTCCTTTGACAATAATTTTGTATTTATGGTCCAATTATTTTATTTTTGTATAAGCAATCTTCTCCTAAATGAAGCATGAAAGCTTGGCATTGCCCTTCAGCATCAAATCTCTGCAACTCCTACTTAGGCAGACATGTGTTTCAATTTTACTTGATTAGCAATTTATTTTAAAAGTGAAACAAAACTAATGTGCTTAAATAGAGCCAGACTTACTTAGAAATAAAATCACTCAAAGGTTTCAGCTAAGGTGAAGGAAGGTCTGTACAGATGTAACAATCACCTACACCATTCTATCTGGAAAATTAGGATCTTAGCAAGAACAGAATCATAGAATAGCAAGACTATAAGAAAAATGATCATGAGGTAAGAGGCACCAAAGAGTTTTTCAAGAACATGAAGGGCTGACAGCACAGGCAGTAAGGAATAGTAGATAAGTCTGGATGAAAATGTAGAGGCAAGTCCCATCTGTGTGCTGTGGCTGGGGGCCTAGTGAAGGATTTTCAGTTCTGGAG